ATACAACTAGGGTTTCAACACCAACCAACCGTCTATATCTTTCCGGATCTTCGAATGGTACACCTTCACGAGTGAGTTGCACATTGGGTATCATGGGAGTATTGCTCGGTTTTGCCCCCAATTTCCCTGTTGTAGTTAGTAAGTCAAGCACATATTTACGTTGAGATAGAAATATGCCTTTCTTACTCCGTGTAACCTCAATCCCCAAGAAGTATTTCAATGAGCACAAATCTTTTGTCTGGAATTGACTATGAAGAAAATTCTTTAGGGCCAAAATACCTGCATTATCACTCCCTGTAATCACAATATCATCGACATATACCACAAGCAATGTGATACCTGCTTTCGTTCGTCTGTAAAATACAGAGTGATCTGATTTGCCTTTTATCATTCTAAATCGTTCAATCGATTGGCTGAATTTCCCAAACCATGCACGTGGACTTTGTTTCAAACCATAAAGAGACTTGCGAAGTCGACAGACTTTCCCATACTCCCCCCGAGCAACAAACCCCGGAGGTTGTTCAATATAAACTTCCTCCTGAAGATCACCGTGCAAAATTGCATTCTTAATGTCCAACTGATGTAAGTGCCAACCATGAGTTGCATTGAGAGAAATAAGTAACCTGATAGATGTTAATTTAGCAACAAGAGAAAATGTGTCAGAATAATCAACACCATAGGTTTGAGCATAACCCTTCGCAACTAATCGGGCTTTCAACCGAGCAACGGATCCGTCAGGGTTAACCTTTACAGCAAATACCCACTTACATCCTATAGACTTCTTCCCTGTATGCAAGTCTACCAAATCCCAAGTACCATTAAGATCCAAAGCATTCATTTCCTCTACCATGGCATGACGCCAATCAGGATGAGACAAAGCGTCTTTAACAGATTTGGGAACAAAAATAAAATCAATGGAAGCAATAAAAGAACATGAGGCAGATGATAACTGATTATATGACACAAATGAAGAAATAGGATGAGTACAAGACCGTGTACCTTTACGTAGTGCTATGGGGAGGTCAAGATCTGATGTAGAGACAGGATCTGAAGATGTAGGTATCGGTTCAGGACATGAGATCGAGATCGGATCAGTATCAGGAGAAGTAACCACAGGTGGAGGGTGATCTTGTACTCTATTTCGACGGGTGTAAACCAAGTGTACTGGAGGTCTAGGGTCGGGAACAGTAACATGTGGAATAACTACAGAAGGTGTAGATTCCGGTATAGTGACAGAGTAAATGAGTATTTCATCATTGCCATCATGAATATCTGTCTTGGATGATGAAAAGGGTATATTTTCATGAAATGATGCATCAATGGAAACAAGATATCGACCTGTACTTGGACAAAAACATTTGTACCCCTTCTGAACTCGAGAATAACCCAAGAAAATACATTTTAATGATTTGGGGTCTAACTTTGTAAGATGAGGATTAACGTCTCTAACAAAGCAAGTGCAACCAAATGTTTTACGTGGGATAGGAAAAAGCTCTTTATTTGGAAATAAGCAATGATAAGGAGCTTTACCGTTTAAAACAGAAGACTGCGTACTGTTTATCAATAAACAAGCGGTAGACACGGCATCCGCCCAAAACTGTTTAGGCATATTCATTTGGAATAGAAGAGCCCTTGCAGTTTCTAACAAATGTCGATTCTTTCAGCGACTCCATTTTGAGGAGGCGTGTCTGCACATGAAGTTTGATGAATAATGTCATTTTGAAGCATAAAAGATTTAAATGGAGCAGAGAGATATTCTTGGGCATTGTCTCCTCTCAACACACGAACAGGAACATTAAATTGAGTTTTAATTTCAGCACAAAATGCATAAAAATGAGTAAATACCTCTGATCGACGTTTCATAAAGTATAACCATGTCATACGAGAATAATCGTCAACAAATGTAACAAAATATTTGAAACTAGATTTGGACACAACAGGACATGCTCCCCAAGCATCAGTATGAACAAGATCAAATGGAGCGTTTGCTCGTTTATTAAGTCGAGGACTTAAACTAGTACGATGGTGTTTTGCAAATTCACACGACTCACATTGTATAGATGACACATTATTAAACTGAGGATATATTTGCTTCATTAGTGGGAGAGATGGATGTCGTAATCGGTAATGAGCTTCTAATAGAATTCCAACCCCAAGACAAGAGATACCTTTTGTGATTGATGTATCCAAAATTTAAAGACCAGCTGACTCATGTCCTTTACCAATAGTCTGCTTTGTCAACAGATCCTGAATCACACAATATCCAGGAAAAAATGTTACGGAACAATTAAGAGTACGTGTGATTTTACCGATGGAAAGCAGATTAAATGCAAAATTAGGAAGACTCAAAACAGGTGATAATGGTAATGTAGAAGTTGGGTTAATAGTACCGGATCCAAGAACATGTGAGGTAGATCCATCAGTTAAAGTGATACTAGAAGTAGGTAAATATGAATGAAATGATGAGAATAGACTAGGATTACCAGTCATATGATCTGTGGCACCTGAGTCAATGACCCATTTCGAGGATGAGGAAACAAGACGTGTTTGAAATACCTGAATTAGCGACTACCGAGATAGGGACAATGAATGCTTTAGAAATTCTTGGTAGGAAATAAATTTGGCATACTCGTCTGAAGAAACAACAATTGATCCATCAGATGAACTGTTAGCGGAAGCAACATGACCAAGCTGATTTCCTTGATTCTTGAATAGCAATTTCCTACATTCTTTGATCAAATGCCCGGGCTTCTTGCAGTAATTGCATACTACTTTGCCAAATGGACCCGTACAAGACATTCTTTTTTCTTTCTTTATTTCTTTTTTTTTATTTTTTTTTCTTTTTTTTAAATAAAAAATTGCAGAAATAAGATGTTACGTATTAAGTAAACTTACAGCGACCGAAATACCATCCTTGAATGTCGTTTTTACTTAATAATCAAGGCCACAGAAAGATAATACCGTACAAGACACCTCGCCAAGTCCACGTTCAACCACACCAGTCCAGCGGCATCACCAGATTAGCAAGTTTCACCCAACGTATCAAGCAGCACCGGATTTTGTCCCGATAGCCTCACCCGCACCTAACTGGATAGAGAACAAGTGAAACTTCGAAGGTCAAAACAGAGGATACCTGAAAATAGGTGGCACATGTGGTAGAGGACATGACGGTGAGCCCGGTGATTAGTTCCGATTGATTCTCCGGCCAGAAACACGGCGTCACGCGCCGACGTGTGCGTTGTCTGCGAGGTCCTCTGACGGCGCGTGTGGTCTATGTGCGGCTATTTAGGTCTGCGGATTTCGAGTGTAAGGTCGGCTGCGGAAGGCGTGACTTCTTAGGGTGGAGGCGATGCTCTGTGAAACTGTGTATTTTGGACTGAGGTTCTGAATTTTGGGCTAAGGTTCTGACCGAGGCTCTGAAAAATACAGCTAAGCTAAAATGGAACAGATTGCTCCGATACCATGTTAATGTATAAACTACAATGATATTGATCGGATTTTCTGTGTATTTCATTGAACGGAATATGCTTTAGAATATTCCTTTAAGATTCTATACAATAATAATATCCTAGAGTATATTCCTAAAATATTCTAAAGCATATTCTAAAGATAGAAGAATATTCTAAACCATATTCTAAAGAATATTCTAATGTCTTTCACAACCTAATTGCCATCGGAGAACCTATTTCTGTTAAGGATCACATTAATGTCATCCTCGAAGGTCTCCTTGAAGAATACGAATCTCTCACATCCTCTATATCTGCTCGCAGTGCCCCAGATCCTGCAACTCTCTCTGAAGTTGAATCCCTCCTGTCGGGTAAAGAAATGCGCCTGCAGAAGCTTCGTGACTCTTAACAACAAGCCCTATTCTATGTCAATGTTGATCGCTTGGAAATTTCTTCTCAAAATAGTGATCAAGTCTCTCAAACTTCTTCAGATAACACTTCCGACAGTCATTTCTATCAAGGCAGAAGTCGTGGAAACTTTGGCAGAGGTCATGGTGGTCGTTTTGGAGGTAGAAATCCTGTAGTCTGCTACCATTGTTATAATCCAACATATAATGCTCCTAACACTTTTTCTTCCAATCAATAGAACCCGTACTCACATTATCCAAATTCAGCATCCACTCCACATCAACAAAGGCCACCTTCAAATCATCCAAACCCTACGGTCCACCTCCACAACTCTTCAACCGGAATCACCAACCCTACAATCCTTCACCTAGTGCTGCTTGGGTTGTGCTACTCCATCTGTCTTGGGACCTGCACCACAAGCTCAGACATGGTTTCCTGATTCTGGTGCTACACATCATGTTACATCTGATCCACTCAATCTTCAACACAGTGAGACTCTTGCTACTACTGATAAGCTTTTTATAGGCAATGGTCGAAGTGTGAATATTAAGTCTATTGGTTTTTCTCTTAACAATATTCTTCAGGGAAAAGGGTCAGATAAGCCTTCGAACATACATAAAAAGGTAAAATAAGTCCTTATATAGGAGGCTCTGTCCGGCCATTGCCATTTGGGGCGGTTCCCGGTGGAATTTTTATCAATTTTTTTTAGCATCTTTTTCATTAAGTCTAGTTTACTCATACCAAATTTCAACTAAAACTTCAATCGGGAAAGCATTCAAATGAATTCTTGAAGATAACTGCGCAGTTAAAAGCGCAATTATCTTCAAGAATTCATTTGAATGCCTTACCGATTGAATTGTTAGCTGAAATTTGGTATGAGTAAACTAGACTTAATGAATAAAATGGTGAAAAAATTTCATCAAAAAATTCCACTGGAAAATGCCCCAAATGGGGATGGCCGGAAAGAGCCTCCTATATAAGGGCTTATTTGACCTTTTTATGTAAGTTCGAGGGCCTATTTGACCCTTTTCCCATATTCTTCATGTTTCCTCTATTACTAAAAATCTTGCAAGTGTTAGTCAATTTGCCAAAGAAAATAATGTGTTCTTTTAATTTCATGCTTATGATTGCTTTGTCAAATCTCAGGTTTTTAAGCAGCTTCGTCTGCATGGTTCTCTTGGAGAAGACAATCTTTACATGTTTCAGTCTATTCCAGCTCTTGGTTTACATCAACATGTTGCACCAAATCAGTGTTCTCTTGTTTCATCATTACCTAAGTCTATGCATCTTAGTTCTGTTCTGTCTTCTTGTAATAATTCAAAATCATGTAATGTCTCTCAAACATGTAATCTGTGGCATTTAAGATTAGGCCATTGATTTCTGTTCAGCCTCTTGTCTTAGTAAAGCTCACAGATTACCATCCTTTGCTTCTGTTGGAAATAGCATTTAAAGCATATGCCTTTTTATATTCCAGACTTTCCAGCAGCTTAACTTTTCATTTTCCTTTATGACTTTCAGTTTTCTTTTGTCCTTTAATGTATCATTTACTTCCCTATTCCCTATATATATGGGAGTCATAATGTATGATTGGAGATGAGAAATACAAGAAGGCTTCTCTTCCTAAATCAACATGGTATCAAAGCCATGGGTATGGTCTGAAATTCCTTCTGCACGTGGAGGGGACTTTGAGCATATTTTCTGGTGAATCAATCTTCAAGGTTTTCATCATGGTCGTAACAAGCAGTAGTGAAGAAACTCATGTTCCCGTTTACATCCCAAATCTTTCTGGAAACCCTACTATTACCAATAATAAACTTATTGGATCACAAAATTATCAAGATTGGGCATGTACTGTGGAACTGTGGTTCATGGGACAAAGAGTGGATGACCATTTGGTCACAGAAGCTGATTCAATTGAGTATCAAAGAGAAGTCTGGAAACGCGTTGATGCCCAGCATTTAAAGCATATGCCTTTTTATATTCCAGACTTTCCACCAGAAATCGTTCCAATGTTGCGCCCTTTCAGGACGTGTATTTCTGTCTGGGAGCAAGCCAAGTCTCTCTATACAAATGACATATCTCGCTTTTATTCAGTTGTTGATGAAATTTTAAAAATAACAAAATCTGGGATGTCAATGGAAGAATCCATTAAAAGACAGCAAGCTCAAAGGGAAAAATTCTGGGTAGTCTTGACACTCTCCAAACTAGGAGCGGGTTTTGAAGAGGTTCGACGTCAGATCTTGAGCGAGAAAACTGTGCCGAACATTACTGAAGTTTTTACTCGGCTTCTTCGAGGGACCTCAGTCACAGAAGACAACACTGTTAATAACTCTGCTTTTGTTTCTCACTCTCGGGGTGGTCGAGGTAGAGGAAGAGACAATCTTCACGGAAGAGGAGGAGGCCGTGGCAGAGGTATGCAACGTTTTTGTGATTATTGCAACAAGCCAGGACACACACGTGATCAATGTTGGAACCTACATGGGAAACCAAGCACAGTCAATGTAGCTGAAGTCAATAAGGAAACTAAATGTTCCCATGTTCTCTCACAGTCTGAGTATGAAGAATTCCAGCAGTTAAAGGCTGCTCGAACCTCAATTACACCTGACAAAACTCATGTTTCCTTGGCCTCTCAGTCCAATCCTATTTGGATTTTTGACTCAGGTGCTACCGATCACATTTCTGGTAATCCTTAACTTTTTACATGCTTGACATTTTCCAATTCTCTTCCATCTGTTACCTTTGGTGATGGGTCAATAGGTAAAGCTATGGGAATTGGAAATGCCTCTCCACTCCCTTCTCTCTCATTATCCTCTGTATTGTATATTCCTAATTGCCCCTTCAACTTGATCTCTATCCATAAACTCACTTCACATCTTAATTGTGAAATTATATTTTCCAATAAATCTGTGACTGTGCAGGACCGACAATTGAGGAAGACGATTGGCACAGGATATGAATCACAAGGGTTATATCATCTAGCCAACACCAATATTGTTTGCACTGCCACCTCTACCACACCATTGCTTCTTCATAGTCGATTTGGTCATCCTAGCCTAAATAAGCTTCGTCAACTTGTTCCTACAATGTCTAATGTTTCATCAATCGAGTGTGAGTCATGTCAGTTAGGAAAGCAATCTAAAGCTTCCTACAAAAATAGGATAAATAAACGAGCAGTTGCTCCCTTTTCTCTAATTCATACTGATGTATGGGGACCGAGTCGAGTTAAGTCTATCTTTGGATTTCAGTACTTTGTTACATTTATTGATGACTTTTCTCGTTGTACTTGGATCTATTTAATGAAAGATCGGTCTGAACTTTTCAATATATCTCAAAAATTTGTCAATGAAATAAAAACTCAGTTTGGGGTGGTAATAAAAACCATTCGCAGTGACAATGCCAAGGAGTATTTTTCCGAATCCTTCTCTAAATTTCTGGATAGTCATGGGGTCCTTCATGAATCTTCCTGTCCAGACACTCCTCAACAAAATGGAGTGGCTGAACGGAAGAATCGACACCTTGTGGAAACTGCCCGAACCATGCTTATTCATTACAAGGTACCTAAATACCTTTGGGGGGAAGCCATTCTTCACTCTTGTTATCTCATAAACCGCATGCCTTCTGATATACTACAAGGAAAGACTCCTTACAATGTTTTGTTCCCTGATGAACCTTTGCACAAATTACCTTTAAAGGTGTTTGGGTGCACTTGTTTTATTCGTGATATCACTCCGGGAAGGGATAAACTCTCTCCTAAAGCTATCAAGTGTGTGTTCTTGGGATACTCTCGTCTTCAAAAGGGCTTTCGATGTTACTGTCCTACGTCAAAGCGTATGTATACATCTTTTGATGTCACTTTCTTTGAGTCTACTCCATTTTTCTCTCATTCTTCTTCCCTTGACAAATCAAACTTTACTGATGAGTCTACAGAAATTGTCCCTATGCAGCCTTTCAAAGAACATGAACCCGTTCTGCCTGTCCCATACTTTCCTGAACCTGAACCTTCATCCCGGGCCATCCCTGAAAAAGGAACTCCCAGTGACATTCCAGAGAAACATCTTATTGAGTTCCCTTATACCTATCACCGTCGACATCGTTCGAGTAAGCCTTACCATCATCCAACAGAAAAAGAAGATAGTAATCCAAGTGATTTATGTGCTGAGCCATCGTCACCTCAAGAGTCAGCCCAAGAGATAACTAATGATCTTCCTATTGCCAGCAGAATTGGTAAAAGATCCACTCGAAATCCTTATCCTATCTATAACTTCCTCTCGTACAATCATTTGTCACCATCATATTGTGCCTTTATTACACGTTTCTCTTCTGTTTTTGTTCCTAAAAGTGTCAAGGAAGCATTGAGTCATCCAGGTTGGAAAAGGGCCATGCTTGATGAAATGGAAGCCCTTCACTCTTCAGGGACATGGGAACTTGTGCCTCTACCACCAAATAAACCTGTGGTCGGCTGCAGATGGTTATACACAGTCAAGGTTGGTCCTACTGGCATGATAGACCGGCTAAAAGCCAGACTTGTAGCCAAAGGATACACACAAGTGTTTGGAATGGACTATACTGATACATTCTCCCCTGTTGCAAAAATAGCATCAGTTCGCACTTTACTGGCTATTTCAGCAATACGACAGTGGCCGTTACATCAATTGGATATAAAAAATGCATTCCTGCATGGAAATCTAAAGGAGGAGGTTTATATGGAACAACCTCCGGGATTCATTGCTTCTGAGGGAGCTGATCTAGTTTGCCGCCTCAAACGTTCATTGTATGGGTTGAAGCAGTCCCCACGTGCTTGGTTTGGACGGTTCAGTGAAGTGATACAAAAATTTAACATGATTCAAAGTAAAGTTGACCATTCTGTATTTTACAGAATCCAAAAAGGTCTTAATATCTATCTTGTGGTTTACGTGGATGATATTGTGATCACGGGTGATGACGTAGAGGGAATAAAACTTCTTAAGAAGCATTTATTTCAGCATTTTGAAACAAAAGATCTCGGCAAATTGAGATACTTTCTTGGTATTGAAGTTGCACAGTCAAAACAAGGTGTGTACATATCACAAAGAAAGTATGCTTTAGATGTTCTTGAAGAAGCTGGTATGACAAACTGTAAGCCAATTGATACGCCGATGGATCCTAATGACAAGCTTCTACCGGGATAGGGGGAGCCTTTATCAAATCCTGGTAGATATAGAAGACTTGTTGGAAAACTTCTTTACCTCACTATTACACGTCCTGACATCTCATTTGCTGTAAGTGTCGCAAGTCAGTTTTTACAATCACCGTGTGAGAGCCACTGGAATGTTGTTACTCGCATCTTAAGATACATTAAACAAGCACCAGGTACAGGGTTGTTATACCAGAATCACGGACACACAGAAATTGTGGGCTATACTGACGCAGATTGGGCTGGCTGCCCATGGGATCGAAGATCCACCACAGGTTATTGTATACTTTTGGGTGGAAACTTGATCTCTTGGAAGAGTAAGAAACAAGATGTGGTGGCACGATCAAGTGCAGAAGCCGAATATCGTGCGATGGCTTTTGGATCATGTGAGCTAATTTGGGTTAAGAATCTTCTTTCCGAACTCAATTTCTGCAAATTCAGACCCATGAGGTTGATATGTGATAACCAAGCAGCTCTACACATTGCAACGAATCCAGTTTTTCATGAAAGAACCAAACATATAGAAGTGGACTGTCATTTCGTTAGAGACAAGATCAAATCTGGAGACATCATCACCACTTTTGTGAATTCAAAGGATCAATTGGCAGATGTGCTCACTAAGCCTCTTAGAAGACCAAGAATAGATTATATATGTATCAAGCTTGGAGCCCATGATATATATGCTCCAGCTTGAGGGGGAGTGTTGGAAATAGCATTTAAAGCATATGCCTTTTTATATTCCAGACTTTCCACCAGCTTAACTTTTCATTTTCCTTTATGACTTTCAGTTTTCTTTTTGTCCTTTAATATATATGGGAGTCATAATGTATGATTGGAGATGAGAAATACAAGAAGGCTTCTCTTCCTAAATCAACAGCTTCTATTACTGTTTTCAATTCACCTTTTGAAATTCTTTTCACTGATCTATGGGGGCCTGCTCCTATCACATCATTTGATGGTTACATCTACTACATTTCATTCATAGATGCATGTACCAGATACACATGGATATATTTTCTCAAAAGAAAGTCTGATGCTCTTCTTGCTTTTACCAATTTTCATCAATATGTTCTTGCTCAATTCTCCGTTTCTATCAAATCCATACAATCTGAACAGAATTATTTGCCCTCATACACACCATCAAAATGGTGTTGTTGAACGCAAACAACACACTATTGTCGAAATCCATTTCCAATTCCAGCCCATATTTCAACTTATATGGCTCTATTCCAGATTATTCATTTTTAAAAGTATTTGGTTGCTCCTGTTATCCTTTCATCCGCCCATATAACAAACATAAAATGGATTT